GCCGAAGATATTCTTCTAGCATAGAATTGAAGCACTCCGTCTGTCCGTTATATTGTGGGTGAAAACTAGAACTCGTGCTCAAAGTTGAACTAAGAAATTTGAACAACTCGATCCAAAATATGCCAGTAAATCGAGGATCTTGATCGTTGACGAGTCTTTAGGCAGCCCACAGTATTTGATTTGAAGAAGAGTTGAGCCGTCTCTTCAGCAGATACATACTTGGGCGCTGCGATGAAAGTTTCGTACTTTGATAGACGGTCTACCACGACGATGATAGTGCCAAAATCTCCAACTTTTGGCAATTCAACAATTAGTCCATCGATACACTCTCGAATGGCCTAGTTAGGACGGAAAGGGGCTCAAGCAAGCCTACCTTTTACTGATGATCTGTCTTATCTTATTGACAAATAAGACAGGTTTTCACATAAGTTGCAATGTCATCCCGCATTTGAGGCCAATAGTACGCATGTTGTAATAGTGCAAAAGTGTGTTCCTATCCAGAATACCAAGCCCAAATCGTGCCGCGGCATTTCGTAATTAGTGATTTCCTCAAATCTCCACCCTTAGGAACATATAGGCAATCTCCCCTAGTCTTCACTAGGCCACCATCGAGCCAGAACTGACGAGTTTTGCTTTGCTTGATGAGGTCGACCAAATATTGAGTAGTCGGGTCCTTATCCAAAAGTGCCTGAATTTGGTCATTTGTATTTGTGGTAATCGTGCTCCCTGAAAGAGCAACCATAGAGCAAATGGTGGCTACTGGCTAGGTTACTCGATTACATAGTGAAAATCTATATTCGTCAATATTGAGCCAAACCAAAGGTTCCCATTCATGATATTTACAATTGTTGTATGATATCAAATTCTAAGACAACATATCCCCATTTCAGCAAACCTAGGTTACTCGATTGCATTGGAACTTTTTTGGGGAAAAGAATGCCAGTATTCACAAATTCTAGTGTATATATTATTCCAAAATCAGCTAGTTAAGCATGAATAAAACATTTTCGGGAAAGCATTTTTCATTTCTTATTTAGTTGAGTTAAAG